GCTTGATTTTACTTGTGACAGAAATAGAATTAAATAGGTCATGCTGTTTCCTTTATCCTGGAAAATCTTCTTTTCAAAGCAAGATCACTTTGGTATTTGACCGTATGTTGGCGCGAGTTTTGCGGGGTCGGGCATGGACAAGGAAGGCTCTGCCTGGCTCAGAACCTGCCTGCCTGCTGTTTGCCGCGATCCAGGCCACGGCTTCCTTGTCAGAGATAAAACCCCGGAGGTGCAGCTTGAGGAATAGACCAGCTTTTAGTGCAATAGGAATGTTTATTATTATTATTTCCTGTCCATATCTGTTCACTATTTTTAATATTGTTCTGATTTTCAGAAATAGAATACATATTTTTAAAGGGAGAGTTTTTGCTTAAAACAGGAAACATAATGCTGATAGGTAACTGCACAGGAAAGAGTTCAGGAGAGGCCTCGTGATCAAAATGTATGTCCCTAAATCCTGCACGTACCCCTCACAGCTCCGTTTTTTGCAGTCCTCTTAAGGAAGCTCTTACCACTTGGCCTTTGCTTCTTCATTCAGTCACACCTTCCTCCAATAGATGGCTGCTGCATGTTTCTGGGGGACGACACTGAATGGCACCATGCCCCCCACTCCCGGCCCAAGGGCACAGTGCACCCCCACTCCCGGCCCAAGGGCACTGTGCACTGTCCCCAGCCCAGGTACCAGGACAGGACTATGGAGGCTTCGGGATCTGTTCTTTATCTTGCAGGAAGCCGGGGCAGCAGGTGCAGGTTTGCAAGTGGGAAACAGCCGGCCCTGATGGACGTTTTACTGACTGGTTCTGGAGGAGGGTGGACAAGGAAGCACAAAAAGCCAGGAAGGCCAGTTAGACTGTCTCACTACTGGGCAGAGCAGTTGGGGTGATTCTAATGCAGGCACATCGGGGAAGAAGAGGAAGGGGCGGGTGTGAGAGAATTTGGGAGATAAAATGGAAATGCACTGGCTGTCAGGGATGAGAGGGGAAGCCACGCAGGGGGAAGTGCTTCTCTCCAGACAGAAGTGCCTCCGCGGGCTTCTGGGCCCCTGATTGGAGATGTGTCTCCAGTAAGGCCCTCCCAGGTGCAGGACAGGCCCACGCGACTCTGCAGAAGCGCAGTCAGTGGTTTAGGATAACCACACGGGGGCCCAGCTGCCTCGCTTTGGCCATGTGAGGACTGGCTCTCGACATGGCGGGGAAACTCAGGGCATGGGTGGGTGTGGGCATCTGGCCGCTTTTCCCGAGGAGGCAGTCGGCCCAGCCACGCTAACAAGCTCATGCTCAGGACCCTTCCAGCTGCTATTTCCCTGCCCAGGCTGGAGGGGCGGCTCATGGTCAGTGGTTTCCAGGCAGGTAGCGGCCTGACCCGTAGTTTCACTGGTGGCATCTCACAGGTGTGCCCGCTCTGGGCCTGTGGGGTGGGGACATCCCAGAAGAGGAGCCTCATGCACACCTCAGCTGGACGAGTCTCTGGGGAGACAGCGCAGAGGGGCCAGGAGCACCGCGGGAGGAGCTGCACGTGTCCAGGAATTGTGAGGGTGGACAGGCTTTGTCCCCAAGGAGAGCATGTCTGGGAGGAAATTCAGAGATGTGAGACGCACACTCGGTGTCAAGGTCGGAGCCGTGGTTCCCGGTCTCTGCGGCGGGTGAGGGGTGGGGGGTGGGGACCTTCCCAGGAGCAGGTGAGAAGCCCACAGTGGGCTGCCCGTCTGCAGCGGCCCCTCGGGCCTCCAGGGACGAGCCCACCATCCATGCCGACAAATGGTGCTTCCACTTGCTTTTAAATTCCTCCCCTAGCCTCAGAAACATCTAAAGGGGAATTTCATAAGGTCAAATTCCAGTTGTAGAAAACACTGGACGATAAAAATATTAGGACAAGGGCGAGGGCTGTCAGCCCGGCCGCCCAGCCCTCCCGGTGCGTTTCTGTTCTCGCCTGCCCAGCCAACCCCCCCTGCTGCTCCCAGCCAGTCACCTTGTCTCCTACCATGAAACTAAATCAGCAGAAAATCAACACAAATTCTTGCTACCCTCCTCCTGGAAATGTATCCGTGTACTTACACTCACACCCAGCTTTCCTTTTCTCCCTCATAATCTTTATGCCTCCCCTAGCCTCATAATTTTCTTAGTGTTGTCTGTTAAACAAACACTACTACTCATGGCAGGGGGTGCACCCCTGTGGCCAAACCCTGCTGTGAAATCTTCATGAAAGAAACCTTGAGAGAACTGTAAATTCAGTCTTTCCAAATCTTCAGTGTAAAAATGCACAAGTCAATAATTCAGTGACCTAAACAAATTGAAAATTCAGATAAATTGCCGGCATTGTGATAGCTGACAGAACACCTGGACGTGGCCTGGATGGCGTACTGCAGCATGAACGTAGGGGAGTGCTTAGCATCCTAGTTATTTGACAAAACCCTGTCCTTTATGATTTTGATTCTTTACATCAGTACAGAAACAGAATTCTTCAACTGGTAAATGCAGATTCCTGTCAGACGGCTGACAAAGTGTTGAAGCAGCCACCATCTCTCTGCACCGAGGAGTTGCCCCAGGCAGCCCAGGGCAGGAACCCAGCCTCTGTCGCCATTCCTGGCCCGTCCCCTCCTGCACCCACATGCTGCACCTGAGCAGTTGCAGAGACGCAGCCTGGATCCTACCACGCAGATTCCAAATCCCCACACAGATTCCAAGTGCCCATGGTCATTTACGGTCTGGGTCTGGTCCCGAGGTTCCCCGTCTCCCTGCTCCCTGACTCCCAGCGCCCATAAGGACTACTGCTTCCCCGGGGCGAAGGTTCTCAGGGCTCTGCTCCGAGGTGTTGCCCCGATGTCCATTCTACCTCATGTTTATTTTTAATGAGTTCGCCCCAACTACTTTTACTTTGTTCTGCTCTGAAGCTGAGTCCTAGCGTTACCATATACATAGATTTATAATTATTTGTTCATGCAGTTGTCTTTTCAATCAGGTAGAAGGTAAAAAGAGAGAGAAAATAAAACAGTAAGTTTGTACCACTTTTGTAGTTACCTAAGTAGTTACCTTCCCCAATATTTTTTTATATGAATCCAAGTTACTGTCTAATGACCTTTCACTTTATCTCAAAGGTCCCTTTTAGTACTTCTGATAGAGCATGTCCCAGTTTTTGTTTATCTAGGAATATCTTGATTTCTCCATTCTGAAAGATAGTTTTGCTGGATATAGTTTTCTTAGTTGATTGTCTTTTAATTTTTGGAATATGGGATTTCAGTGTCTTCTGGCCTCTGTGATTTCTGTTGAGAAATCAACTTTGGATCTTATTAAGGTTCCCTGCACACGACGAGTGGCTTCTCTCTTGCTGCTCTAAGATTCTTCGTCTTTCAACATTTTGATGATGAAGCTGGGTGTGGGTCTCTTTGAATTCATTTGTTGAGCTTTTGGGATGTGTAAATTAAATCTTTACATCAAATTTTGGAAATTCGTACCCAATTATTATTTCTCCAAATAATCTTTCTGTTCCTTTCCTCTCTGGTGATCTCATTTATCCATTTGTTCATACACTTGTTGGTGCCCCACCGTCTCTGAGTTTTTGTTCATTTTTCTTTATTCAGATTTTCTTCCTCATACTGGATAATCTGAAATTTATGTATCATCAAGTTCACTGACTCTTTCTTCTGCCTAGTCGTATCTGTTGTTAAGCTGCACTAGTGATTTCATTTTAATTATTAGAACTGGCCACTCAAAAGTTTCTTTGGAGTCGTCTTAATTTTTTTATATTTTGTGACACATTGTTTTTATACCTTTCTTTTTTTCTTTAGATAAGGCATCACTTGGTCCCTTGAATATACTTCACATTCCTGATTTAAAGTCTTTGTCTAGTGTGTCCAGAGCCTCAGCTTCCTCAGGAACAATTTCTATTGACTATTTTCTTTTTCTGTGCGGACCATACTCTCATTGTTACTTGTGTCACATATTAAATTTTTGTTTAAAACTGGACAGTTTCTACAAATGTGTCAATGGTGGAAACCAAATTTTTCTCCCTCCCCAGGATTTCTTTTTGTTTTGTTTTTAGTGGAATGATTTTTCCAAATTGATTCTGTAAAGTCTGTATTTTCTGGGTGATGCTACTGAAGTGTCTCCCCTGCTAACTTAGTAGTAAGCTAATGAGTAGAAGAGATTTAATTGAAGGCCTAGAAATTAAACTGCTAGCCTTTGCCAAGAGCCCGTGGGTTCATGTCAACAGTCAGTCAATTTTCAGCTGACTCTGCCCTTCGTGTTCATACGTACTGAGCCTGCGGTCCGCTAGAGGAGACCCAGGTCTTTCCTAGACAGTGTGACATGACACTACCCCCACGCAGAGCCTTTTGGATCCCAACTTTTCAAAGCCCCTGTGGACATGTCATTCCCCCACCTTTCTTTGTAAACATTGTGATTTGTCTATTATTTACTCCAATTTTTTTTTTCACCATTTCAACTAGCTGAAATCGCAAACAATTGTCTCTAATTATTTTCTTTAAATGCAAGGTCTTTTTGCACTGGATGAGCTCTAAGTGCGATCAGATAAAGACAATCCTTTGGGAGGTGGGGATTTCAAAGAGCTCTGCCCAGTTCTACTGTGGGATCTCCAGCCTGAGGGATGTGCCTCCTGCAGAGCTGGTTGTGAGGCGGGAGATAAGTCAATGTAAAGCATTACAAAACCTTCTGTTCATACCAGGATTTGGACAATAGAAAAAAAAAATTCTCTAGAACTCTGTAAGCCTTTTGTTAGTTTTAAGAGTCCTGGAAATGTGTTGATTCTGATCATTTTTGCCAGTTTCTCTTTGCTTTTGTGAGAGACTTTTTTTTGTAAAGAGACTTTTTGGAGGTTCTTACACCATCATTTTTACTAATGTTGCTCTTACATTTTTTCATTACACTGTAATTCAATGTGTAGTTTAAATGCTAGCTGAATTAATAAAGATTCACTGAAAGCAGAATGTTTTTGTATTTTCCAGAAACTTCTCTGAACCTTGTTGTGCTTCTTTTATATTTTAGGACTACGATGATGGATATGGCCCTGCTTATGATGAACAGAGTTACGACTCCTACGATAACAGTTATAGCACCCCAGCCCAAAGGTAAGAGTCAGCCTCACAAACAGACCCAAGGCAGACATCATGCCGTCCACATCTATCCACCCTGGGGACAGGATGCTGCTTGTCCAGGGAGGGCGTGCACTTGACTTGCTCTGATTTTTCATTTGTTTTAATTGGAAATCCAGCCAGCATATTCCTCCCAGATTCCCTGTAATGTTAAAATAATATGACTTGGGAAAGAAAAATGAAAGTTTCATTTACTCTAAAAATTTGGTGTAAGTGTTCTAAGGAGGAACAATGACTGAAGGCTCTAAACCATACAGAAGCCTGTAACCACCCTGCATTGCTGGGGTCTGGGAAGCGAAAGTGCCACAAATTTGATTTCATATTCACACTGTCTCTGCTTCTGAGCAGCCGTGCTCCTGTTTTCTAACGGCTTCAAATTCCTATTTGTGAATAATGAGATAGTTCTGATTCATTTTCCAAAGAAGTGCTTACCCAGAAATAAATGCTTTCAGAGGCAAAACAGCCTTCCAGTCACCCCATCTGATAACACACCTTGATGTTTGCTGATATACGAAATCACTCCTCATCCTGTTCGCAGTGTTTTCCTAAATGCCCAGATCTTCTTGCTTCATATCTAGAACTCTGAGCGGAAGACCAGGCAGACAGGCCCAAGCTGCTGCTGGTCATCCCCGTGCTGGCCGCCCGGTGCGCCTGCCCGGGCAGGTGGTGCTGGTGCATGGTGACGCCGTGGCAGAAGGCGTCAGAAATGGATTTTTTCTTTTTGTTGCTGGTGATTTTCGTTTCTTCTATAACTTGGAACAATTAAACTTTCACTCTCAGATGGCCTTTCCCAGTGGGAGCTGCCCCTGTCCATGACGAGGCATTTGTATCTTTGAGGGAGTGGGCGGGCAGTGGGTAGTGGACCTTTACACACAGTAGTGCATGTATGTGGCCAGCGCCTGGGGAAGCATGTGGTGTCTTAGTGTGAGGCCGGGCAGGTGGGCGAGGCTCCGCCACAGGCCACTTAGGGGGCTGCCAACTTAAGCGCTGTGGGCCCTGAGTCAGGGAAGACTCAAGTAAGGCAGCACCTTGCTGACAGCCCTCGACCTGCTTGGAGGCGATGTTGTGACACTGGAGCTCAGATCTGCGTGTGCTGCATGTGTTGGCAAATGCAAGAACCCGGTATTCATTGGGAGTTCTGAACCATTGTTTAATGAACCCTCAGAATCCATGAGGTAAGCACCACTCCTTGGAGGAAAACTGGTTCACAAAAATGAGGTAATTTGTCTTAGAAATCACACGGCCTCCACACAAGGAGTCGTGCTTGGCCTGGTCCCCAGAACCCTGGCGTCCTGAGCGGCTGCAGTGCCCAGTGGTGCCCCTGCCTGTGGCAGGGCAGGACGAAGCCATAGCCGGTGCACTGCCCGCGCGAGTCACCATAGCAAAATCCCAGAGGCTGGGGCAGCAACAGAGGAGTGTTTGCTTGCAGTTCTGAAGGCTGAAGCCCAAGACCCAGGTGTGGGTGCGCTGGTTTCTCCTGAGGCCCCTGTCCTCTACCTGCAGAAGCTGCTTGCTCACGGCTACCTCACACGCTCTGGCCTCTCTCTCTGTACACCTCCCGGCTTCTCTTGGTGTGTCCAAACCTCTTCTCTTCTATAGACACTGCTCAGGTGGCATCAGCAGCCACACAGGCCCTCAGTCTAAGCCAGTTGCTTCTTCAAGAGCCCTCTCTCATTCTGAGGCCCTGGGGTCAGCACCTCAGCATACGAGCTTCTGGGAGCTGCAGTTCAGCCCAGAAAGCGCATGTAGCAGTGGTCCAGAAATCTAGCGTGGGCCTGACGGGATCAGGTCATCCCCAGGATCAAACAGGGTTGTTGGCGACTGCTTCCTTTGTGGGCAGTACTGTCCCCTGACTTCACACACATTCTCTCTCCCTTCTCAGCTGGTCCCCAGCATGGAATTGGCGTCTGAGCCTGTCATTCCCTTGTGTGCAGGTTCCGAGAGGTCACATTACGGGTCCAGACCTACAGAGCCGGCTCTGTGTGCTCTCTGTCCTGCCCTTCCGCCTCCGTAGCCTTCCAGCTCCCTCTTTGTGATGACATCATCCCTGCTAGTGTTCCCGCGTACGGCATCCGGGCCCTGGAATGCTTGGGGATGCTTTTCACTCCATTGGCACTTAGTTTTCCTTTGAACTAGAAGCAATGCCTTGCCAGATTGGGCTGGTGGCCTGATCTCGCCCAAGAAGTTCATGTGTGAATGTTGTCCACTGTAGCCAGTGGGATCAGGGGCTTTATTTACAGTCTCACGTGCCATCCTCTCAGCAAATGGCATCCTCTGCCTCTGCCCTCCAAGAGCAAACAGCCTTGGTGCACCGACAGATGCCACGCAGCCTGATGCTCTGCAGCCTAAAATCTCTGGATTTTGACACTTCAGGTTCTGTAGATTTAATTTCATACTCCAACAATTCTCTCATTCAAAACTTGAAAATACATTCCATGATACAGTTATAACCCAGCGATACTGCAGAATTCTCCTGTTAGCAGTCTGTAGAGTACAGAGCTCTCCTAAGAAGGTCTTTGACACCCCATGATGTAACAGAACGCGTCCCAAGCAGCATGAGAGGGTGTGTGAGCACTGAGGTGGCTGCCGGCCCCCGTGGCTGCTGAACACGGCAGGTGACTGGCTGAATGGCCGTGTCCAGCAGTGTGGACCATACGCCTGAGTCCAAAGACTCAGCATAGAAGCACAAGAATGTACAACAAAAATGTAATTGAAATGAATTTCACCTTTTCTTTTTCATGTGACTACTAGAAAAGTTTGACTTGCAAGTGTGACTCTTGCTTTCTCTGGGAGGCGCTGGCACGCAGCACGGGCAGCGTCTCCAGATTAGGGTGCACACCTTGGGGTGAACATGCCTGTGCAGTAGACGCACAAGGAAATTTAGACCCACACTCATCCTTCTCCAGCTTCTGTTTGGTGATCTTCACTGTGCGTGACGTGGGGCAGCACAGATTTCACCAAGCAGTCGTAGCCACAGCCCAGAAAGGGCCTTCTTGTCTACGCACACCCGTCATGCAGTCGTGCATGGCCATGGCGGTCGGCGGAGCTTGGAGACCTGTGTTTAGGTCCGAGTTGTCACCTGTCCGGTTATGCTCCTTGGGCCAGTGGTTCACCTTTCTAAGCCTCGCTTTGTAAAACGTGTGACTTAGTTTCTTCTTAAGAAGGTAGACCTGAAGAGGACTAGCAAATAAGTCCCCAGGGCAGTGCTGGAGGGAACAGGTCATCCACAAGACAAGCTGGACGAGACCCCACGGAGAGGGAGGGGCCCCCGGGAGGGAGGGGCCCCCAGGAGGGCGGCCTGTTGTCCTGGCGGAACAAACCCTAGCTCTCGCACTCCTTCCCAGCTCTCAGTCATTTCTGCTTCTCATTCACACGGAGAGGCCTCCAGAGACAGGCACCAGTAAGTGGAGGACAGTGTGAGTGAGTGACTTACTGGTAGAGTGAGAGGGAGTGTTCCTTGTGGAGGGCCACTCTGCACCCCGAAAGGGGTGGTCTCTCCATCTTTAACCTACACTGGGGTCGGTAGGTGAGCAGCCACTTGAAAACAACGGCGTGCGCGGGGCTGTGACTGTTGTGTGCAGGCCCTTTCAGTAATGACTGTAAACTTCATCAGTCATAATCATTTTATGACATTGTTTTGTTACAGAAACAGCAGTTTCTCTCGGGAGGTCTGACAAATTAGGAATTTTTTATCCCAATTTTCAAATACCTTGTATTAAAATTCGAGTACAAACGAGGATCCCTACAGAGTGATAGAACATTCCGTCTAGTTCAGCTACATTTCCCCATTGATTTTGTAATGACCTCGATGGTGCTAATCTTGTGGCGTGGAACAAAGCCGTGTTTCTCTATGTCTGCACGTTTAATGAGTAACAAGCTGTCAACACAATCACCAGGAAGAGAAATACGAGCTATCCTTTACAATATTAGAAGTGTTCTACTATGCATCGGCTCCAAATAGTTGCTGATCGATTCCTCTGGAAACACGGCTCCCGAATAGCGATCGTGAAGACAGAAGAGCTGGTGAGAACGGGGTGAAGGGTGGGGGGCAGCCTCAGGGACGGCCCTTGACCACTGCCCTGGCAGCACCAGGGCCCCCAGGAAACCAGTTTCCACTCTGCAGACCCTTTTGAACGTATCCACGTCGTTGTCCACTAAACAAAATTAGTTTTCACTGACTTATTTATAACCCTAAGGACAATTGCAGTTGTGCAATGTGATGCATGTAGTGGGTGATACTGTGATTAGTTCTGGACATTGGGTAAAAGCTAAATTTGAGTTGCCCTCATCATAAAAAAGAGGTTGCCTATGAGGAGAAGATTCGTTTACTAGATTGCCTGTCCTGATTCCCTCGTGCATTTATCAGATCATTTCTATACCTTCAATAGATACGATTTTTATTCATAACATCATACTATTTTAGTCTGTGCTTCTAAATAATCGTAAATTATCCAAAGGAAAATGTGATTCCTGTAGTGAGTATGAAAAAGAATCAAAAGAGGCAGAAAAAAGCGCAAATAGCCATTGGGGGAGGGGGGCATGTGTACATGACTGGATGGTAGAAATAAATCTCATAAAAAGTAAATAAAATGTTTTAAAAATGTTTAGTTTCTGGAATGGTTTCACATGGACGTGTTAATTTCCCACGGTGCTTGGTGATTCCAACAGTCCTTTTAAGTGCACGTTGCATTTCATCTTCCAGTATCTGTAGTTTTCATGAAAACATTTAAAATTACTGAAATAGGAATTAGAAAGAGCAGCTGCCAGTTTCGGAGCATCTCTTCAGTCCAGCCCTCAACTGACTCTGCCTCTCGACGCATCGTCCCCAGCTTTACAATCACCAGCTTCCCTGCGAGGTTGGCGTGTGTGACGTTCCCCAGGAACACTGAGCAGCTGGTTCTTGTGCCTCGGCTTTTGTCTAACTCTAAGCCCATCATCCAGGGAAGAGATTTTAGAATATAACCATTGCCTTGTTG